TGGTAATTTATAATCAGTCACAAGAACGTCGAATCTGAATCACTTGTACATTATCACATCAAAACAAATCATACTCACGGTAAGAGTGAACATGACAACAGCGTAATTTTTTCCAGCATTTTGTTGTAATCTTTTCCTAAGAGCTTTGATGGCATCTTTTGGTCTACAAAAAATAAATATAAATTTTTCTCAGTTCTTTTAAACTTTAGTTTAAAACAAAATTACAGTCATTACAAAGAACTGAAAAAAAAAACAATCCACAACACAAAACTAAAGCTTTCAAACTATTCAGATAATTTACAAAGTTGGATTCCTAAAGTTAAAAAGTGGATAGGAAATTGACTTGATGGTAGAAAAAAAAATGTATTTCACAAGTTTTTTTCAGTTAGGAAAATGTGACAAGTGGTGTCCATCAAGAGTTTGTTTAGGATCATTTGTTAGTGCTTATTTCACTGATTAGAATAGATTATTGAGCTGCAAGTTGTAGCATTTCAAAATTCATTAATGGTGCTAAGATTCTGGGAAAGACTGATACTATAAAGTGTTTCTCTTGTTCATAGAAATATTGGGATAGCTTTAATGTTTGAAATAAGTTGTACAAAATATATTTTAATATTAAGAAGTGTAAAGTTATAAACACAGCATAAGGAAATTAGGAAAGGACTTGATTCTTATGTCAACTCTTTTACTGTCACAGTAATGGATAAACTACTCTCCCAGTGCCAACTTTATTTTTAGATACATAATGAATAATAAAAACATACATGTTTTAATATTTCATTATGCACCTGAAGACTTAAACTAGCACTCCTTAGGAAGTTCATGGTCATACAATATTCCAAACTCACATGTGGTTAATATCACAATCTTCAAGGTTAAAATAAAAAAGTTATACAATTTGTCCAATATACTTGATTATGTTTGTGCTCTAGAAAAGAACACAGTGAAAGAGTTATTAAAATAATACATATTTAGGTACAATTTTTAAAACATCCAAGTTTTCAGTTTATTATTTAGCTTTGTTAAAACAACCTATTAAATAGTGTCTGGAGTCTGTTTAAAGAAATTTTGAATTTATCATTAGGGCAGTTATCGTAATTTTGTACGAGACTAGTGAGTCCTCATTTAGAGCAATGATTATTGGTTCTCTTGCTACAAAAAACATTTAACATGTTGGAAAGTTCAGAAATGGGATACTAAATTATACTTGTTTTAAAAACTTGAGAATAGGAAAAGGCTTAACAATTTGAACTTTATGCTGGTGACTGGACAAAGAAGTCTTGAAATAGTTAAGCACAATTTGTATATGGTGACTTCACTGAATGGTGGAATTAAAATGGTTTATGCCAATTTTAGTATTAGATTGATAAGTTTAAGCTTTGAAAAGCTATACACATACTTGTTCTTTACTAAAGTTATTCCTTAGTTATAAAACTTGTGGATTGCTTTGCTGGTTGGTGTGATACATAATACTGATTTAACACCAGAACAAGAGATAATTTTTTCTTTCAAGGCTGCACTTGATCCACCCTTGAAAAATGCAAAAATTCAAACCCATTCTTTATTTTAAGGAATTCGCTGATTTCCCTTTTAAACTCTTGTACAATGTCAACCTCCCCTTCTGGATATATATAGGTATAAAAACAATCTTAAGTTTATCTCTTAATTATAATTTCACAATAACCTAAGTAAATCTAAGATAGTTAACAACTTACCCTTCATCTGTATCATTGATAACATCACATATTTCCAGATTTAAGGCCCAATTTTCTGATGTTAATGAAGCATCTGTAGCTTGTTCTTTTAAAAAAAAAACACATTAAATTTACTTAGTTCCATTTAGTTTTTAACTTTTTACAGTTGACTAAGCTTTAAAGTTTGTCTGCTTATTACTATTTCACAACCAATTTTTTTAACAAAAAATGATGCAACATAAAAAAGTTGGAAAAATTACAGAATAAAATTGCAAAACAAATAGAAAAATCTGGAAAGTAAAATGTCAATGATCATTAGGTACAGCAAACATGTCTTGACATTTATTTAAAATGATTTGGGTGTTACATAAGAGAGGATATATTGAAAGGTGGTTAGTATAATAATATTTTATTGTAGGGTTAGAGAAAGACAACATTATATCTATGCTACAAGAAAGAAAATGTGTATTATAAACTTCAGGTTTTTTTTAATAATTTTTTTCTAGGGAGGGGATTTTATTTGTTGACCGACTTGGCAAAGAGTATTCAAGTGCTAAGGGCACAGAATGTATATAAATGTATTGAATAATTTTTATAACTCAAATGGCAGTTTTAAGGGTATCACTTAATTTTTTCACACCAACATTTATCATTTGAAAATAAAACCTTCAAATTTGCAAAAAAATCTAGGTGGGAGACTGATTAAGCTTAGAGGCAAAGCTTCCCCCAGCCCTATGAAAAGAAAAACCTGTACTTGTTTAAAGAACTGCAACTGACTTTATTTACAAAAAAAAGAAAATATCTTGAAACTTATTTCTATAACATTAACTCATAAAAGTAAGATAATTTATATTAACAAGAATTTAAAATTTTCCAGTTGATAAAGTTTGTTATTTTGACAATGTTTTATCACAAAAATCAAATATATACAGAATATACCATTGGTAAAATAGGCTTACTTAAAACAAATAACTGTCATAACTATCAAACTTATTAGATAATGGATTATAAATATAAAGTTACATAGAATTGACAGCCTAGTTCTAGTAGTATTATACAAAATATAATAATTATTATTGACTGAAGTTTGCTTATGTTTTTCATAATTCCTTTCCCATAATGCAGCATCATTTAAATTATTGACCTGATACAAGTTACAAACAAGTAACACAAGTACGTTTTTTTAAATGAAAGTTTAAACTTTTACTGTTTTAGTTTTACCAATTTTCTGTCCAACAGGTGTGACAAATGGATTTCCTCCAAACTGAGACAGAATCGTTTCCATGTGGTTTTCGGTCTTAAAGCATGTAACATTAAATACTGTTGACTCTATTTTTATTACAACTTTTAGAAAGTTAATTTTTTTTTGGTGCGAAAGTTAAGTTACTTTCCAAGTATGTTTTTAATCCAACCTCTACCTCCTTCTAGTCAAAGTTCTACAATACACACTGAAATTTCACACTGGATCTGTGATATAAATAATATATTCTCATTATCAGACGATAGGGGAAACATGTTCAAAGTTCATTTTCTTTAGGGGAATAATATTAATAAGAAAAAGAAAAGAAATTATCAATAATATTATTAATGTAGCTGTAAAGCGATTAATAAGTTTTAATAGCGCAAAATTTACTTGTTGAATACATTTTTCTTTTTGCTTAAAAACAATTCTCGTTCACGCCAACAAAATTATATCTTAGTACTTTGCACGGATAAAACTGTAAACAACGAATAAATATTCAAGTACAGCATTAGAACGTTTGAAAAAAAAAAGATTGAATGAGGATAAAATTAACTCAGATTTAACGAAATCGAAACTAATGTAAGTGTATAAAACTGTATTCCTTATTTAAGGTATTCTCTCTCTGTATAATCTGGCCCCCGGTGGCTAGGCAGTAAGTCAGTGGGTTTATAGTGCTAAAAATTGGATTTCGATACTCATGGAAGGCAGAGCACAAATATCAAATATATTGTGCAGCTTTGTGCTTGTGCTAACAACAAACAAAAACTCTGCAATCTGGTAGAAGATATTGTTGCGTCAGCGAGGTCACGTGACTGGTATCACGCCACGTCCTTCTCGAATCTTCATGAATTATCGGGAGACTACTAGATTGGGGGTAGTCTGGTATATATAAGACGCTCACAACGTGACGGAACAAAGCAATGAATTATTGAATGTATGCGGACAAAATATTGTTGGCCACGTGAGACGTGAGTTATAGCGTTGTTATAAGCGACTGTTGAAATTAAGTGTATCGTAAAGCTGTATTCGGAAAGAATAAACCAGTTTTATTTAAGAAAGGACTTGTGTCGCTAAAGTTTCGTCGGAACGAATTTACGGAAAATTAATTAACAAACGGAGACGTAACAAATTGGTGTCAGAAAGTGGGATAAAAAAAAAGAAGAAAGAAAAAAGACAAGATGGAAACGAGAAGCGGCAAATCAAACTACAGCTTAGCAGATTTGATGGCAGCAATACAAGAACAGCAAAAGAAACAAGAAGAGAGACAACAGCAGTTGCAAGAAAACCTGCAACAGTGGCAGCTCGAACAGCAAAATTAATAAGAAGAGAGACAACAGCAGTTGCAAGAAAACCTGCAACAGTGG